AAGACTGCACTGTTTAGGTATTTTTAAATACACATTTTTTGGGGAGCTATGGCGTAGAGTTCACTGAACTGCAAAATGCTTATGCATACGGTTCTGTTGTCTTTTATTTTCACTGAATTGTATGGAAGTGATTATTTAGCAACTGTCAGAGCTATGTGTTTTTTCTGAAAGTATTTAAGAGGTACTTAAGTGGTATGAGGCAAGCAGTCTCACTCGATTGCATTGTCTGTCTACCAACACCTATTGTTGGCTCCAGAAAAATATTGTCAGATGCTGCTAGCCAGGCTGGGCCTTAGCCTGTTACCGGTGCGCCTGTCAGAAATCATTAGCTGGTGATCTCTTTGACTAATGTTCCAGTTGATTGTCTGATTCATGTTCAAGATCTGTAAATGAGGCAGAAGCATCTTTACTGCTCACCAGCTGTGAAATGGCTAAACGCAGCTAGATTTCCCGAAATCAAAATAAATGTATTTCCAATAAAGTTTGACAACAATATCAAGTGCAAAGCTGAGAGCAGAACTATGCTTTTGTGTTTTTTAAAGTTACAGTATTATAAATCAATATTACCCCATCACGTTTTTGTCAGAGTAATGTATTTTACCAAAATAATGAAATACCGCTAGTACCATTAATCTTGTGTTGAGTTGGATAGACACTCTTTATTCAACATAAATTCATACATTTGATTTTTACTCTTTTGTCCATTATCGCCACATGTATCAATGTTTAGCACAGCCTATGTCCTGTTCTCTGAGTCCTCAGTGTACACCAATGAGGAGTGTGCATGTTTTTATATGCATAGGAGAGATACACAGGTGTGACAACAACAAAAAATAAAGGGTGAGATTTTGGGAGGGGGGAGTCTTGCAGGGGGGGAGCTGGTGTATCTGTGTAATATAAATGAAATAACCCCAGGAGGGTCACGCTGACATAATGCTGAGACAACTGAGAAGCAAATCTGGGCCTGAGATCTCATTGGTATTTTTGTTGGCAAAGGAGGTAAACATGAGATTCACCACTAGCTAGAGAATTAGTGCAAGAGCTATACCCCAAACAGGCTCTGGTTTGAGGATTTAATCAGAGCTTGTTACTTTATTTTCACACTGTAATTAATTGTAGCCACAACAGACTTTCAAAGACCCAGGAATAGAGTTGATTTTGTAATGTTCCCGAGGTAGCTATCCTCCTTCCAGGTGCACCTGAGTCTAATAAGGGAAATCGTATAATGCATCTGGAATTTTTTAATTTCTATTTTGGAACCATAAAACCAACTTTTTTTTTTTTTCCTGCATACACCAAAACAACAGTGGATGGCATGTGGGACAGTTGTCAGCAATGTGGAAGACGAAGTCTTCACTCTGCCACCTTTCCACATCCTGCACAAATGAGAACAAGTGATTGAAACCCACTGTTCATTTCTGTATTAGACTTTGATTTTCATTTTATTTGGGTTTTTTTAACCAATGTTTCTACTGTGGAACCAAAGAAGTAGGAAGTTTGAGACAGTCAGTGTGTTTGGTCATATAGTGCCAAAAAACAATTTGTGATCAGATTCAGTGCAGATTTTATACTTTTTATTTTGTTAAACTTACCTTACATTTTCTTTTCAGAGGTAGAAAGAATTGTATGTTATTCTAATCTGTTCAACTGCATATACAATGATCTTTTTCCACTAGTTGCTAGGAGTTTCAAACTCTCTTTGAAACAGTATGGAAAATTTATAATGGAGCCTAGCATGATCAGGATAAATCTATTGCAACAGCTTCCTTCCTCAGAACTCTTCGTTCTGAGCAAAGAGAGCAAATTAAAAAAAATTTTAAATTAGCAAATTTAAAAAACAAACAAACAAAAATTAAAAAAAAACAACCCACACAACAGCAACATAAAACCGAGATATTTTACCCTTTCAGTAACTCTAAATCTCTGAAAACTTCTGTGTTTTGAGAACAAAATTCAGCCACGTTCATGTAATACCCAAACCCAGTTTTTTAATGTACGTTATCAGTATAGATTCTTATGTAGTCCCATTCAATCTCTTTACTCAATGTTATCTATTTTTATTTACGTTTCCTGGAAATGTAAATGAAGAAAATTACCAAGATGACGTTTTGATGCACAATATTTGCCGTAGAATACTGAAGGAGAAGCATGTTGCCATAAGACTTTTGTTCTGTCATCTGAAACAATATTTCCATCCTTTTTGTTTGTGTCATGACAGCTGTATTCTCTAAGACCACAAAAGCAGCAAAAATGCACGTTTGTGTAGGAGTTTTCAGTATTAATTCTTGACATGTCCCACCTCTTCCTTGGATGTCACTGTCCTCTGCACATGTTGGCCAAAATATATGTAAAAGACCTGTTTGTGGCTATACTTCTGTTTAAAGGTAGAAAAACTTTCATGAGCACTTATAAATTCCATTAGATCCAACTGATAAGTGTTCCCAACATTTATCCACTTGTCAGTGAGCTAATAGATGACTTGCCCAGCCATGTCCACTCAACACCCTCTTGCCACGTGCATGTCTTCTCTTACGTGGTATTCATAGGAACCCAGTTAGATTGACTGGTTGTTAATATCCTATGAAAATAAAGAGGAATTTTTTCATGTCCATATGTTGTTTTCAGGCTGCTTACAGATTCTGGCAGACATCACTGTGTCAATTCCTCTTGATCTGCCAGCACACAAGCTTTATAATTTTTCATTTTAAATGAAAATTAGAAGTGTTCTGTTAAGTGCAAGAGGCTTTGGGTAAAATCCTCTAATGCTTATGTGTTAATCCAGCGGTTTATCCTGCCCTACCTCCTCTTTTTGTATACTGAATGTTGAAGGTAAGGCATGCACCATAGGCGAGGAGGCCCCTCTTCGCATCCTCCACATAAATGGATGGGCAATTGTAGTATACAGGGGCACTACACAGCTCCTTTCCATTCAGAATGTGTCCCTTTCTGGGTCCCTACATAGCATCTGAAGCTGGAGGAGTTATTTGAAATACAGACACCAAGATTATATTTCCTATTGTCGTTTATCAAGATTTCCTCCCTTTCATGTAGATGATTTAATTATTGTTATTTCTTCATTGCTTAGAATGAAACATACAATTTGTGTAAAGTAGTAGTAACCTGGGACCAAAATGAGCATTTTTCATCAATGTGAACAAGTGGCTTTAGTTAGTTAGTTTCTTACTTCTTTCTAGCAGCTGTTGCAGAGATGCAGTGAACCAACTTTTTACTTTAGCTGCTCTGTCTATGGTTTTTCCTTGGTTTTATCTGTAATTTTTAGGCTTTGTGAGATCTTTGGTAGAAAAAAAGTACAGTAGCCTAAGCCTTAGGTGCGTAAGTAACCTTTCCGTGCTAGACAGTAACCACGAGAGGCCCTGTGTCCTAGTTTAATATTGCAGAAGCCAGTTTAAAGTAGGAGTGATTTCAGTCCGTTACATAAAATTTTTGAAACATCCTGATGTTCTTAAGGCAGGTTTTCTGATACGGACACGATTATTCCAATAAACATTGTAGGTCCTCTGAATTAAATACAAAACCCAAAAACTGTTTTCTTGGACACCTGTGTGCGTTTCTGTTACCATCCTGGATTATTTAGAAGGACGCTCTGGAGGCCTTGACAATTTTGTGTTCAGTTTAGGGTGAGTTCTGAACTGATGTGACAACTTCCTAACTGAGATGCCTTTATACTCTTTTTGTCATATCTTATGCGTTGATAACTCAATTGACAACGACCTTCAAGTCCAGGATGCAACGCTGATGTACATGAGAACATAACTGATAAGAAAGTACTTGAGGGGCGATAAATAGTGCAGTGCACATTAATAAATGCTACTTTTTGTGCAGATAGAACTTACATAACTGAAAACTAAGAGCCTTGCCCAGGGATACTCCTGCATGTAGTAAAACTCATTCAAGGACTAGGAAATCTGAGTAGTGGAAGTGATGATAGAAATGGTGACGTCCATAGCATTGGCACACACAGGTTGTCTTCTTTTGAACCATGCAGTTTGCCAATGACAGGTCTTAATAGAAAATGCCCTATCTTTGCCTCAGTATAAATAAGCATCTTGGGGCATGCAAGATACTGTGTGTCCCTGGGCATCTCCCTTCCCCCTTCAGAGCTTGTAAATGACATTCACTACTCCTGTCTTGGAAATGTGCAAAAAGGATTTCCATAGATAGTCTTTGGAGATTTCCTGTTTTCTCATGTGTGTAATAGGTTGGGTCAAGCAACAGAGAGGAGGGAGGAAAGAATAGGATTTAATTTTATATGCACTCTCCCATCGTCACCATTGGGAAAAAAATGGATGAAAAGAGAAATTATGCAATACAGGTGATGTCAGTGTTAAATTAAATTAAGATCATATGTTTTTATGCAGCAGCTGTAAGCCTTTGGTTATGGGAGGGGTCATGATAAGAGAGTACATTCCGAATGAATGTTAACAAATTGCTTGTGTGCATGAACAGTTAGTCATAGAAATAACAACATTATCTACAATATTTTAAGCCAACGTAGTTTAAATGTATAACCTATAATTTATTCACTTTTTGGGCATCTGAATTGTCCTAAGAAAAGTTGTCATAGTGACAGTTTAAAGAAAGAGTTATATTTCAGCTTATCATTCTAAAAGATTATGAATGCAAAGGATATCATCTGAAGGTATTGATTATCAGAAATTCATAAAAGCACAACCTTTAAAATCTTTTAAATTATGGATAAGGATATTTATATTCTGAATTGGGTAATACCTCTTTGGTTTTTGCAAAGTGCCAAAATATAGGGATTTAAATGCAAGTTATATCTTTTTAATTTGTAATTATTGAGTAGTTTCAAACAACTATAAGTAATGATCAAAAACCTAGTCTCATTACAGCTAAGTAAAGAAGAAATATACACACGGAAAAACTTTAATTTTGTGTTTCATATGAATACAGAGACTGAAAAAAAAGTGGAAATTCTTAATATTGTACTTATTGGGTTTTATTTTCTTATTTCACAGATTTTGAACACCTCTGTAAAAATCTTCACAGCACTTTGTGATTCTGCTGGCCTAGGCAGAGCATATGCAGCTGTAGCCAAGATCCTGGTAAGGTAGGTTAGCACATCCTTGTCTGACTGTCAGTGCAGATTCATCCAACTGTGAAAGACTTAAATTGTTAGAGGTCTGTCGCTTCCCATTACTGACTGCTTAAATTTTAAGCAGTGCCCTTCTTGCAGTAAGTGACCCATTCATCAAGAGTTATTTTAAACTGCTACACGTTTTTTAAAGTGTATGATCTAAGCTTTTCTTTACCTGTAAACTATAATATGTCCTTTTTTTCCTGTGTTTTGAGGGCTTTTTTAATTTTTTTTTTTTTTTCACAATTTTGGGAGGGACTTTACTGGAAAACAGAAATCCAGACATATTTTCCATGTTAAAAAAAGACAGAAAAACTTTTTTTTTTTTTTAGAATGTAGCAAGCTTCGGTAAGTGTCTCAGTGTAATCTCTTCTGAACTATAAGTTTCCATTTATTCAACTCATTTCTTCTGTGGAGGCATTTCTGGTTTGTGCACGTGTAACTAGATAAAAATTTGTTCCAAATACGATGCTTATCTTCAATGTTTTCATTTCAGCACCTAGAATTAGAATCTCCTTCCAGGTGAATTAGTTTGAAACTCCTTCAACTTCTTACACAAATAATTTTGACATAAAATAGTCTAATACAATTATCATATGAAGCAGAAAAATTAGAGATTAAAGTGAACATTGCAGTTTATCCTTGGTTCATCCTGTGTTTAGGGACTTCAGTGCATATGATGCATGACAGAGGCTGGCAAATAGCTTATGGTAGAGGACTTGTCACCAAGTTTATTTCAGTGCGTGGAGCAAATTCTCCTGTTTGAGTCAGGTCTCTTGACTTTCAGAGCATATGGGGAGCAGCAACAATCACAGTTCTCTTCACCTCTCTGATACATAATTCATGGCTACTCATATTCTCAGCACCCTAAATAAGCACATGGGATAAGATGTTCAGAGAGCCACAGAACAGACTTAGAATACCAGGTCCCATTTACAAAACTGTCTTAAGCCCAGCTAAAAAAGATTTAATTGCTAGGACACCAACTGTTACGAGTGACTTCACAATGATTGCAAAGGTGTCTGAGCTCTCAGTAGTGTTCATAGGTTCCTTGTATTCACAAAAAGCAGGAGTCTGAGTAGAGGGTGGCCTAAGATGGCCAAGAGGACATTCCTAGAAGACCATGCATATTAATTTCCTCTCTCTGTGATTTAGGTATTCTGGAATGAGAGCACATACACTTGTTTACTCAGAAGTTACAGATTTGAAGATCCTTCTGAAGTCAGATCGCTAAACCCTTCATCTGAAAGACTATGCCAGTGCAAATTCTTTTCTTAAAAGCAGAGCTAAAGAACAAGTGGTTAGTGATTTTCTTCTGCGTTAAATCTATGCTTCACACCTTCAGGGAGCATTCTCTATCTGGGAGTGGACAGTCTCACTGTTTTCTGGTTGTTGCAATTTGAAAAAGAGAAAAACCAGTAAGAAAGGAAAAATGAGAGGAGAAACTAAGAGCAATAAGACTCCCCAGTTCAGTATTTAAGTCATTGTCCTAAGAGGGGAACATTCTGATTGATTCAAGGGAAGGAGGAATTCGGTCTCATGTCTAGGATCAGGAATTTAACTGCTAATCTATTGCACAGGTAAAGACACAACCATAAACCCTTCCTCTGGAAAATGGCTGCTGTGGTATTTTTTATAGAACCCATCTGGTAGTTATACCCTGAGAGCGTTAACCAAATTAAACACCTTATACATGTGCCGGCTTTGAAGAGCTTTAGGTACGTGATAGGCATAAACTGCTCAGCCCTGTAAAATATCATGATGATCCTCAGCACCTTACAGCCCTTTGAGATTTTATGTAGAAAAGTCTGGGCACCTATGAATCATAGAATAGTTTGAGTTGGAAGAAACCTTTAAAGGTCATCTAGTCCAACCCCCCTGCAATAAGCAGGGACATCTTCAGCTAGATCAGGTTGCTCAGAGCCCCATCCAACCTGACCTTGAATGTTTCCAGGGATGGGACAGTAACACCTCTCTGGACAACCTGTGCCAACTGTTACACCATCCTTACTGTAAAAAATTTCTTCCTTGTAGCTAATCTAAATCTACCTGCTTTTAGTTTAAAACCACCACCCCTTGTCCTATCGTAACAGGCCCTGCTAAAAAGTTTGTCCCCATCTTTCTTATAAACCCCCTTTAAGTATTGGAAGCTGCAATAAGTTCTCCCTCAAGCCTTCTCCTCTCCAGACTGAACCACCCCACCTCTCTTAGCCTTTCTTCATAGGAGAGGTGCTCCATCCCTCTGATTATTTTTGTGGCACTCCTCTGGACCTGCTCCAACAGGTCTTTCTTGTGCTGAGTACTCCAGAGCTGGATGCAGTACTCCAGGTAGGATCTCACCAGAACAGAGTAGAGGGGCAAAATCACCTCCGTCAACTTGCTGGCCACACTTCTTTCGATGCAGCCCAGCATACAGTCGGTTTTCTGGACTGTGAGCACACATTGCTGGCTCATGTCCTGCTTTTTATCCACTAGTACCTCCAAATCCTTCTCTGCAGGGCTGTTCTCAATCCCTTCATCCTCCAGCCTGTATTGATACTGGGGATTGTCCTGACCCATGTGTGGGATCTTGCACTTGGCCTTGTCGAACCTCATGAGATTCACACAGGCTCATTTCTTGAGTTTGTCCAGGTCCCTCTGGATGGCATCCCATCCCTCAGGCATGTCAACTGCACCACGCAGCTTGATGTCATCTGCAAACTTTCTGAGGGTGCACTCGATCCCACTGTCTATGTCATTGATGAAGATATTAAACTGTACTGGTCCCAATAGGGACCCCTGAAGGACACCACTCATCACCAATCTCCATTGAACAGTTGACCACTAGCCTCTGGATACGACCATCTAACCAATTCTTTATCTACTAAACGGTGCACTCATGAAATCCATCTCTCTCCCATTTAGAGAGAAGAATGTTGTGGGGGGACCGTTTCAAAGGCTTTACAGAAGTCCAGATAGATGACATCTGTAGCTCTTTCTTTGTCCACTGATGTAGTCACTCTATCGTAGAAGATCACTAGGTCAGTCAGGCAGGACTTGTCCTTGGTGAAGCCATGCGGGCTGTCTCAAATCACCTCCCTGTCGTTAATGTGCCTTAGCATAGCTTCTAGGAGGATCTGTTCCATGATATTCCCAGGCACAGAGGTGAGACTGGCAAGTCGTCAGTTCCCAGGTTCCTCCTTTCTACCCTTTTTAGAAATGAGTGCAATATTTCCCTTTTTCCAGTCACTGGGTACTTCACCTGACTGCCATGGCTTTTCAGATATCATGGAGAGTGACTTGGCAGCTACATCAGCCAATTCCCTCAGGACTCTGAAATGCATCTCATCAGATCCCACAGGCTTATGTAAGTTCAGGTTCCTCAGGTGGTCACAAACATGATCTTCTCTTACAGTGGGAGGGACTTGGCTCCCCCAGTGCCCATCCACTCGAGAGTGTGGGAAGAGGGTTTGCCAGTGAAGACTGAGGCAAAAATGTTGTTGAGTACCTCAGCTTTCTCCTCATTCATTGTTACTAGTTTGCCAGTCATGTTCATCAGGGCAGATACACTTTCTTTGGCCTTCCTTTTCTGGCTGACATACCCTTCTTATTTCTTTGCCCTTATTATTCTTTGCATCCCTTGCCACATTTAGCTCCAGCTGTGCCTTGGCCTTCCTCACCCCATTCCTGCACAGCCAGGCAGCGTCCCTATACTCTTTCAAGGACACCTGACCCTGCTTCCAGTGCCTATGCATTTCCTTCTTGCCCTTTAGTTTGACCAGCAGGTCGCCACTCATCCATGCTGGTCTCTTGCTTTCCTTTCCAGATTTCTTACACCTGGGGATCGAGAGCTTTTGTGCTCTATGGAAAGCATCCTTGTAGATCTGCCAGCTCTGTTTCGTTCCCTTGTCCCTGAGAGCAGTTTCCCAGCAGGTCCTGTTGACTAACTTCTTGAAGAGCTGGAATTCGGCTTTCTTAAAATTCAAGGTCCTGACTTTACTCTTTGCCTAACCCATATCCCTCAGGACTGTGAACTCCACCAGCGCATGATCACTGCAGCCCAGGCTGCCTCCAATCTTGACATCACTGATTAGCTCACTTGCATTGGTGACCATCAAGTTCAGTATCACATCCCCTCTGGTAGGGCTGTCTATTACCTGGCTTAAGGTATCCTCAGTGTACTCCAAGAGTCTCCTGGATTGCCTACAGCTCACCATGCTACTTTTCCAGCAGATATCAGGGTGGTTGAAGTCCCCCAGCAGGATGAGAGCCTGCAAGCATGATGTCTCCTGTAGCTGGAGTAAGGTGACTTCATCAGTAGGCTCCCCTTCATTGGGCAGCCTCTAGAAGACACCAGCCACAAGGTCTTCTTTGTTGCCTTGGTGTCTGATTCTTACTCATAAGTTTTCTATCTGTTAGTGGCTATCCTTCAGAGACAGCTCTTCACACTCTATTTCTTGATGTAGTGGGCAACCCAATGTGATGGTTTGATGTGGGGTTCTTCACTTGTCCCTTCTGAACAGCCTGTAGACATCGATAGCCACTCTCCAGTCATAGGATTTGTCTCACCAAGTTTCAGTAATGACAACTAGAGTTTAGTCAGAACTGAATTCTGACATTCAGTCGTCCAAAAATTCAAAGGATCATAGTTCTGGATTTATGCTCCAAAACCTTCAAAAAATCTCAGGTAGGATATATAAATCTATTTGTGTATGTGGGCCTTACATCTGTGAATGCGTGAACTCTGTGACTGAGGGTCATAGGGACTTGGGAAGTTTTTATCCATTGTTTTAACAGGCCAATTTTGTAAGGAGGTCTCACAGGTGGGGAGATGTCATTCCATAAAACTCATTTATTCATTGTTTTAAGTAGAAATTGATAGATTCCATGCTTACTTTTACTGTATGACAAAGAGCAAAAATACCTAGCTAGACCATAAAGTATCTCTGACATGAGAGAACAGCATAAGCAACATTTGAAATGGATGTTGAGGGAGCTGTCCAAAGCAAGGCTGCTTTCAATTATCTTTGAAAGGTTGTGGCAACTGTGGGATGTTCCTGAGGACGGAAGGGTTGCAAACATCACTTCCGTCTTGAAGAGAGAGGATCCAGGAAAATTCAGGCTGGTCAGCCTCACCTCAATCCCTGAGAAGAATTTCCAAACATGTTAAGGACAAGAAAATGATTGGATTTAAAATAGGGAAATCGTGCTTCACCTACCTGATAGCCTTCTAGGATGAGGCAACTGGATTGGTGGACGAAGGGAAAGCAGTGCATGTTGTTTCTTTCCATTTTAGCAAGGCTTCTGACACTGTCTCCCATAACATCTTCATACACAAGCTGATAAAACATGGCTTAGACAAATAGACAGTGAGGTAGACTGAAAACTAGCTGAGCTGCTGGCCTCAAAGGGTTGTAAGCAGCAGCATGAAGTTCAGTGGGAGACCAGTCACTAGTGGGGTACTCAGGGATCAATGCTGGCACCAATACTGATTTATATCTTTATTAACGACCCAGATGGTGTGACCAAGCACACTCTCAGTGTGTCAATCTTCATTAACGACCCGGATGGTGTGACCAAGCACACTCTCAGTGTGTCTGCAGACAACACAAAATTAGGGGGGAAATGGTTGATCTACCAGGTAGGCAGCTGTGCTGTCATTCAGAGGAACCTCAGCAGGCTGGAGAACCAGGCTGATGGCAGTCTTGTGAAGTTTAGGAAAGGGAAATGCAAAGTGCTGCACCTGCAGAGGGATAACCCCATACACCAACCCAGGCTGTGGGCTGTCTGGATGGAAAGGAGCTTGGCAAAGAAGGACCTGGGTCTCCTGGTGGACAAGTTGCCCATGAGCCAGCAATGCACACTCATGGCAAAGGTGACCAATGGGATCCTGGGCTGCATCATTGCAAGCAGTCAAGGGCGGCGATCCTTTGCCTCTAGTCAGCACTGGAGAGGTCACCCCAGGAGTGCTGCGTCCAATTCTGGGCTCCTCAGTACAAGAAAGTGAGGGACATAATGGAGTGTGTCCAGCAAAGGGCTGCAAAGATGAGTAAGGGACTGGGAGTATTTGTCCTAGGAGGAGAGGCTGAGGGAGCTGGGACTGTTGAGACCACAGAAGAGAAGGCTCAGGGGAGATCTTATCAATACCACTTAGGCAGCAGTAGAGAAGAGGGAGCCAGGCTCTTCTCAGTGGTGCTAAGTGACAGGACAAGAGGCAATAGGCACAAACTGAAATACATGAGATTCCATTTGTATACAAGAAGAAGAAAAAAAATACTGTGAGGGTGAATGCTAGAACAGGTTGTGGAGTGTCCATCCTTCAAAAGTCACTCAAAACTCCACTGGACACAGGCTGGCCCTTCTCTAAGCAAGGTGGATGGAGATTATCTCCAGAGATCCCTTCCAAACGTAACTATACTGTGATTCTGTGATCTTTGTCTTAAGCAGTCCTTCTACATAAATTCCCTTTTGCCATATAATGCTCTCTAATAGAACACTTTCTGTAACCCAGTATGATGGATATATCAGACAAACCTACTTTTCGAAATTCAGAAACAGAATTTTTTATGGTCCAGCTCTACCGGTTCTTCCTTGGAGGAGGAAAGGGCATAGAAAAGTGGTTTGAAAAGACAATGTAAAGAGAGACATTAAAAAAATATTGTAAGTTTCTGTTTACTCTCACACCAAACTTTTGGATATTTACTTCTCTGATGTATAGCAAACAAGAAAATTTCTGGCAAGCCTGTTCAGAAAATATTGGCTAAATGCACGAATAATTACTGTTGGTTACAGAATCTCCATACTCAGCTTGATCACTTTTTCTTTACTTGTATTTTTACCTGATCTAGACTAGACTTGTGTAAATAATTTTAATTTGATGGATAATGTCTTTAAAAAGTAAAGATTACTATTTCTCTAAAAGAATTCATTATAATCATAATGTCTGTGAGAATTTGCACTGATTGCCTTGTGACAGGTTGGAGAAAGTGGCTGAGCCCTCCCGAATCACTCAGAACTTGTCCGTGGCTTTGGAATTTTTTTGTGGAATCTTTGCTGCAGATGTTTTCACAGATCATGGGAAACCAAAAATCTCTATCATGTACATTTTAGGCATGTCATTTTCCAGGGGAAAATCTGACATAATAGCATCATGTTCTTGACTTATTCTGCCAGTGTCCACCATAGTAATGACTTCTTGTGGACACATGATTTATACATCCAATTCAATCACATGAGCAATCCTATAAAAGGTGCATATTTTCATAAAAGTCTAATAGGGGTAAAAATCTCATAGGGCATTTTAGCATGAAACTGGAAAATGAGTTGCTGTAGATATGTAATCTCTGCTGAAGTCATCATAACTGTTCTGTGGGATCATGAATGACTACATCTTCAGGAAATTACATTTTATGCATTTAGGAAGGTGATGTCTAAAGAGATAGAAAGTATATGGCTGTATAAAATAACATGTAGATTTTGGAAGGAACTATAAAATATTAGCCCTTTGAGTAGGAAAGAGCTGTTTATCATGTTATCAGGTCTTGTGCAGGATAAAGTGTTTCGGTAATCCTCCTAGCATACTTTAAATATCTCGAGCTGTAGTGCTTTTAAAAGTACTTCCTTTGAAAAATTGTTAAACTGTACCGACCGATTGCTAGTTGGCATAAGTGAAGTTCTAACAGTGAGAAATATCTTTCTGATATGTATCAAATTGATTTCTGTTTGCTTGAAAGAGGTTATATGCCCTAGCAATTTTCATATTTTCTGTATGTGGAGCATAGGTTTTTATGTGAAATATAAAAAATGGCCAAAAATACATCAAAACATTTCTATTAATTCATGAAATTAAGAAAACCTTTTTACATTTTCTCCTGTCACTGATTCCATTTGCTTTATTACTTTCAGCCTCTAGCCCACAAACTTGGTGGCACAATCAACAAACCCCTTAGTGGCTGTTTCATCTCTGCTCTATTTGATTTCTCCACTCTGAGTAAATGATTAAGTTTTCATGCATTGGTTCAACCAAAATCTATGTTCACTCAACCACATCCTTTATTGATTACTTCTACTGCAAACAGTAGGCCAAGTGTGATATACATAATTGGACAGTTGTCAGGGGATGTGGGTGTTAACAGTCCTGTTTTCCCAATTGGAAACTGGAATCACCTTGATACACAAATATTCTGCACTGTTTCATTCTCATTCCTTGGACCGAGGAGTCCTTTTCCTCAGAATATATGTTTTTAACTCTCAAAGGTCTGGTTGAATGGATTTAATGATTATACCATATAATATGCTCTTCAAGTTGCACCTGTGCACTGCATATAGAAAACTAGAAAAACTGGAATTAATATTTGTCTAACACTTTAACCTTGTCCTTTAACTTATATAAATCATACGCTGTATTTCTATGGGGAAACATTTGATTTTCTCTTCTGAGGAAAAAAAAATAGGTTTAAAAAATGTATTTCTAATTCTGAAATTTAGAAGCCTTTTGACATTTGGCAAATATTTACGGTACAGTATATTGAGTATTCTCATGATATCAAAATGCTTAAATTAGGAAACTTTGGTAAATCCAACTCTGCTTATTGACAAATAAGCTTTACAGTAGCATATACTTGAACATTTCAAGCATGTTAGTTTGCAGTGTTTTAGCATCCTTTTGTAGCAATCTAGCTCATCTCAGTCACATACAGATAGTCACTGCAATATTGTAAATTTGCGGCCATGCTTTGCTGTGTTTCCTGTTCCGTGGCAGGCTCTACCCTGTAATAATTACTCTGATAGCATAAGACAGGGAATTGGAGACTTCTGCCAGATTTTGAAAGCACATATCCCTAATACAGTTTATAATAAAAACTGTAATGTAAAAAAAACCCTAGTCAGTGGTTTGCTGCAGGAATATAACTTGAAGGTGCTTTAAAATGGTAAGAAAATAAATCACAATTCTTTATCACTTACAGGAACTTCTATTTCTGTGAGTTTCTTAATTAAGACTGGATTTTCCGTCTTGCTTGGTCGCTTGACATTTAGCATGCTACACTCCTACATTACTGGCTCAAGTTCATGGCTAATATTGAGGTCAGCTGCAGTAACACTTGAGCCTTAAAGGGAAAAAGAGCACAGCGCCTTACTCACAAGCAAACCCAGATGTCTATCTTATATCTTGTAATCATACTGCAGAGATCCTATATTGTAAGTGTGACCGGCTTTATTAAAAAAAAAAGGAAATCTGCAAATGTTATTGTCAAAGTACATTAACCAATTTTCAACTTAGAGTCAGCTGTGACCTCAGGTTGCTCCAATCTCACTGGGATTTGGAGGTGACACCTGCAATCCGCAGTTTATAGGTTTGCCTGTGTGACTCCAGCAACCTTTGATCTACCCAGCCAAAGTGCAGAGTTACACTCAGGGAAAGGCTGTCACCCCCAGAACTTAGAGGCAGCGCTGTTATGGATCTGCTGCTGCTGCTGCACCATCGGGGTTCTAGAGCAAGAACTTGCCTCTTACCTCCAGCCCCTGTTTGGTCAGGATGTGAGGTCCTGCGGTATTGAAAACATTATCAGCTGCACAGCAGAAAAAATATTAAAACAATGGAAACTCCAAAACTCCTGTAATGTCACCACCTTTATTTTCATTCTTGGCCTTAAAATACAGTGTAATATTCTGAGAAGAATTTTTTTTTCTTTCACTCCAAGGATCCAGTTCTGCCCTCAGAGGTTCTGTGTGGACTAGTCTCATTGGTCTCGGCACAGTGATGCTTAGACAACCATCTTAGAAATAAAGTCCAGTCAAGGATGAGTCATCACAGAATAAAGTTAGTTCAGAACTGGCAGGCAAATATTCAGCATTTGGAGAAGTCATCTGGGTTAATATTTAATTTTGTCCCTGTCCTTTGCTTCAGTCAGGGAAAAGTGGCTGAAACTATCAAGTACTTGGAAGAGTTTATGAAGGCTGCTGAGAACGCTCATCTAAACCAAAGCCTGGTGGATGCGTGTGTATTACTTGGGAATATTTACAACGAAAGAGTAAGTACTGGTTGTAGTAATGATGTCAAACACTTGGTTTTAATTCATGGTAAAAATCTGTTTTTGCATGTGAGATGACCCAGAAGAATTTGATCTAGGCATTGTGTCTTACAAGAGCTACCAAAGGAGAAGATACTGTGTGACTAAATAAAATGTGCCTTAAGTTTTTGGGAAAGGTGAAAATTTCACACCATAATTAATTATAATTAATAATGAGTCATCAGTTAACACAAATGAGATTTTATTGTACTATACATTGAAATTTGTTCTTTTTAAAAATGAATATATACTATATTGCATACTAATAAGCAGTTTTTAATCTTAGGTTGATTTCTTCTCTACATTCTCTCAGCCAAATTTATGAAATAGATGCTAGCAGCAAATAGTTTGGCAAAGGTCTGTGTTGGTAGTGGGACAGCTTCCTCTTCTGTGTGTCCCCGTCTGGCCTGATGGCTTCGATTTGGCCGGTTTAAATCAATAGATGAGTAGTGATGGGCAATATTAAGCTAGAGGTAACTAAGAAACTCCCTTTATCATGGTTTCTAAGGTCTTTCGAGGTGCTTCTTTCTGATCCATGTGCCCGTTTCTGAATTGCTTCTCTGGGGTGGACTCTTCAAAGGCAGCAGTTCTGTTGGCTGCCTCTCTGGGTAGTGTTTTCCACGCTTGCTCTGTCCCTTACCACATCTAGAGATGCAGCACTTGAGCTGCAGTAGCATTTGCTTTTTGAAATCAGAAAGGTTAAAATCATTACCACAGAAGTGAAAGATTCATGTTGAGCCCTTTGAACCTATTTTAGAACTTAAATGCTACATGAAATTATTCAGATACAATAAGTAATAAAAAGAATTCACTCTGCAGACTGGGCAATGTGGAAATTAGGAAGCACTTTTCACTAGGAACAAAAAAAAAGTAGAAATATTCTTTCTAAATCACCCTTTCTAGCTTCTGTTGCCTGTTTTTTTCTTACAATTTCATTTCCATGTGTATCATATCGAACAGGCTACTTGCTCCTTTTCTCTTACACTACCCCCAAACGCCTTTTTTTTTCTGGATTCCTCTTACAGAGAACTCCCACTACCAAAGTTGGTGGCCCATTTTTGTTTCATAAACACTGAAAAAATTTCTTACTCTGTAATTTCTAAATTAGCCTGAGCGCCTTCTATTTACATATGTTCTTAGCATAAATGCTGAATTTTCTACTGAAAACTAAGTTTTAAAGTCTCTGAGAACTTGCTGAAGTAACTTTAAAAGGGATCTGAAGCTTAGAAGAAAGTAGGGTGTGATGGCCATGCTTAATTATTCCACTCCAAATTTGAAAAATAATTAACTAAATTCTGTGTAACTACTTTTTTATTTCACCATTTCTGCCACCATTGCTAATAATTCTATGAGAAGTGATATTTTAAGAATTTACCTGGTTTTGGTTACTCACTAAATTTTCCTTCTCAGTTTGAAATTTTCTTCCTTAAACTGGGATAGTGGTGTAGAAGGAAAGAAATGTAGTGACTTAATCTTATTAACTTACATAAAATATGTAATGTAAATCTACGAAGAAAAAAAAAATCTCTTTAAGTAGTACAATTCTCTATTTTCTAGACCATTTTTTCTGCAAGGTCAGCAATGTTTACCAAAACTGAGTCTAAATTAACATTTCCTCTCTTGGATCACTGCCTGCTTGGTGTCAGCTGTCATCTCTGGTATTCTCTAAGTCATTATTAGGGTATTTTTATTCAGCTCTGTACTTCCCTTGGTGATACAATTTGCAGTAGTACTGTCCTTCTCATCGAATTAAAGATATCTCTATTTATATCCAGATCTACCCCTGGGGACCTTTAGTAGACCAGGGATATAACTTTTACTGTTCTTCCCAAAGTGACTTTGACCAAACTCACTTAGCTCTGTTCGTGCAGTTGTTGTAGCTTTACAGTTCTGTCATCTCACTATTCCATCACCATCCCTGTCTGTCTTTAATGCTCTACACTCAGTTTCTGCTTCCTAGTCATGATTGTTTTACCCGTACGTTTCTCATTTCCCAGAACGCCTGGGTTTGTGTTATGCGTGAGCACTGGGTCTAATTTTTCCCAGTTTGTTAAGCAGGTTGCTTACTTAATATGCAAACTCTGATGGAGTTAGCGTGACACACTCTGTCATTTCTCATTTCACTTTTCTCAAGTTTTTTAGTCTGATTTGCTGCGTTCCTCTCACCAATTGTATCACTTAAGCTATTATAGCTCTCATGAGTATGGTAGGTAGATGTTTCTGCTTTTTATCTATTATCCTACTGCTTATCATTCTTTATCTGTTTCTGTGTGTTCGTAGACCTAATTTTGCTGTCCTGCTGTATTAAACAAAGCCTAAAGACTACCTGAATTTCTACTACTCTTTTCTCCTTTTTTTAATTACAGGCACATTTTAGCAGTTATACAAATTTTGATCCCACAAAGTGGTATTGAGTGCAACAGGTATCAATTAGAGTCTCTCCTCCTGGTCTCTATATGCAGAAGGGAATGTCAATCTTACTAAATCAAGCTGAGAGTGAAAGGATAAGATAGCTCTGAAACTGTTTTCAGTCAAGAATTTTGTGCCATCAAGGCAGTAGAATTCCACACCAATGGGAGAAATGGAAAGTGCCTTCCAGGAAGCAAGCAGGCTATAATTAGTGTTAATGGTAGACATATAGAAACTGCCACAAGAAGTTTGTCTAGCTCTAACAATAGCCAGAACTAAGTCCTTCAAAGTAAGGTAAAGGATGACCAGTTCCATAATGACTTGCTCCCAGGAAGACCTTTTTTGCTTTGTCTTGTTTGTCGATTTTTTTTTTTTCTCCACAAAAATGTGATGTCCAGCTTTCTTCTTTGTTGATTTTTTTTTTTCTCACAAGGATGTCCAACTTTCTTCATAGTAGGCTTGTGATCAAGATTGTCACCATAAACTATCCATTAAGAGGAGAGAGCTGTCTGTAATTAATTTCAAATTTCTTGCTCTTCAGTTATATCCAATTCATCCTTATTCTTCTATTGTAGTTGGTAGCAATTTTCAGTCTATTCCTGGTTTATGTTTGCTGTTTGGCATATATTTACGTTGTCCAGTTTTATTAATATACCATTTATTTACGCTGATTGTGAGCTTTCTCCACTGCATTCTTGATGCATCCTAATATTTTGTTTAACCTTACTAGATATTAGAGCTGTTTTGCGTTTAGGAGAAGCTGCTGAAGAGCTGCCATTTTATTTCAAGGCCACCTTCCAAAGCCTGAGTTTATTAGATCCCACTAACAGCTACAAATAGCTCAGGCATTGTGAATTACCTCTCATTTTCTAAAGAATTAATTTCATTTGCTATCACATAACCACTCAGGTAGTATTATTAGGTCCCTTTTGAAATTCTTCAATGCCTTGCAAAAACCTTCCTTTTTTACTTTTTTCGACAATCTTGGCAAAATAGTTATCTGATTTTTTTTCTATAATAATTAAACATTAAACAATACTGATACTAGAGCATAAAGTTATTGCACACTGCCATGTATAATACCAACACAAAATGTACTACCTTTCAAGCCTGGATTATTCTACCTAGTTTTAATGAGTCATGTAATTTATTTCCCGGCAATTCAATTTCTTTGTCTTTAGAATTCTTCAAATCTTCAAATCTCTGTTTAGGTCTGGTGGTATGCTGCTTTTTAAATTAGATCCTTGCTCCTGCAACTCTTCTTTTACTCCGTCTCTGATGGTAACTCAAAGTAGCTTCATGGCAAAGAAGAAATATGCAAAAGGTGAAGAAATGTACCAAGAAGTATCTTAGCTTTTCAGCAGTATCCTTCAGCCTATCATGATTTTCCCTAGTTTTCTCTTTATTCCTCTTTGATGAAGAAGTTGAGGAGTTTTCTTTCTATATCTCACATAAAAAATAGTTCTTGTTATACTTTTTTAAATTCCTCTGAATGTATTACCTGCTGTAGTTTATACTCCTTTTTACTGGATTCATGAATGTTGGAATTCTGTATTCTGCAGGATAAAGAGATAAATTTTTGGGGTTTTCTTTTTAGCAACAGCTGGCTTATATTTCTCCTACTGTTTCCCCTTTCGTGATTAGGAATATCCCTGGGGTTTGGTATACCCCTTCTTCCCCATAATTCTGTAGGTTTTAATTTCTGTTCTTTAGGTCCATCATTTCATTATCTTCTTTTTTCCATTTTTAAGATTTCTTTTGTAAAATTTAGTATCACAATAGTAAATGAGGACCTTTCCTTCCACAAAGATGTTAAACTTAATGAAACAATAGCGATAATTTCTAAATGACCTGGCTGGAATCAGTATTAATACTTAGCATTGATGCAGTTAGATTTGTATATTCAAAATACCACAAAGACAACCGAAACACAATTCAGTTCCTGATAGAAAGATACGAGAAAGATACGAGCAGGATTATCTGGATTTTAGAGGTTAGGAAACAGCAAGGGAGAGTGATTTGCTTAATACCATGCTGTGAGTCATTCTGTGGGCTGGCCTCTCAGCTGCAACATCTCTGAGGGGCTGGAGGAGCAGGCACTAATGTCAAGGTACAATACAGATGACTACAAGTAGTTTTTACCATTCTTTTCTTTTTTTCCTCTTCTTTACTAGGGGAATTATGATGAAGCTTTTGAATATTTCAGTCAAGCTTCTGAGGCAGCAAAAACTTTAAATGATTTGCCCTTAGTGGATGAAACGAAGACTTATTGTGGCATTGCGAAGGCTCATAAACTGATGGTGGCATTTAACAGCCATATAGAAAGAGAAGATCCCGTCAGCCTCAAGTACCTGCTGGCATGGAAGGAGAACAGAAGTGACATGTGCACTGACCCTCTTACAGTCGGTAAGACATTGGTTATGAAACACATTAGTGCTGTATTGTCCTCAACGGTTAAGTCATTTTTCTTGTAGAGTTTTATTAAATTATTTCCTGGGTTTAATCCTTGTACTGACTGGAGGCTAGATTTGCTCCTTTGTGTGCTTATTTTAAAGGCTGAATTAAATAGGTTTAAATACAATATAGCAGGGAGAAACAGATAGTAGTAGTTGCTATGGATGGTAACTTACTTTTTTCAGTGCTGTTTTCCAAAACATCACAGTCACAGGCAAACAGTGATGTATTCATTTACTCAACTATCATTATTTTAATCTTTAAAGAAAAAAAAAATAATCTTAATTTGCAGTCAGTTTTTCAAGTACATCCAAGAATAAGTTCCCTGTTATTAAAAGCAAGAAGTAATTTCTGCTTGACATAGTAGACGTAGTTCTGAATTCAGAAGAACACGTTGTTTTATTTTTGGCATCCTTACTTGACATTCGAGAGAGAGGAAAAAAAAAAGCAACTCTATGATTTTTTCACTGTGTTTCCTTGTCTCAGATAAAGAGTAGAGGAGGACTTTGTGTGGAGTAGACCTCTTTCTTCATGGATTAACTTTTCTTTACTTTTTTTCCCCTGTACTATATGTACAAGTATTATATATACTTGTACATAATATACTATATATATATAGTGTATATATATAATATATACTATATTTCCAAGTATTGATAGTTTTAAACTGTATTGTACTGGGGAAAGAAAAGGGATAAGTCTACTCCACCATAAAACTTTCCTCTCTTCATTCCTATGGAGAATGTGAATCTGGAGTACACTGGAAATAAATGACAGCTGGGGCAAAGTCATGATATGGAGCTTCAGAGTTAGTGTCCAACTTCCCTCAGTTATCATACTCTCGGAGACAAAGAACTGCTTGTCTGCTGTTTTCTCTTGTATCTTTTCCTTTCATAGAATTGAAACGATTAAATATAACTTCAGTTGTTAATTTTATATATAAACTAAGTGGTTAATAGCCTGGTAATTGAAGATGTTAGCTGTTTAACAAGAGCCAGGATACCAGAGGCAACACTGGAAGCAACTGAGAATTGTGATAGGAGGACATTCACTGGCATGCTGAAGAGATAACAAATTAGATTGCACTCCATTTAGGGTTCCAGTGATGGTAACAGAGCAGTTCTTTCTTGACAAAAATGTGTTTCTTTTTCAATTACTAGATATATTTGTGATTTTTGCCTCAATAAGTGAATATCCAGAACACTCACAGATTTTGCTGGCTAGCAGAGTTAATTGGGTGCGTGTCTCCTGCAAGGGATAGTAAATTTCTAGACCTGTAGTGCAGATGCCAAGAATTGCAACAGAGATGGTCAAAGAAGAATCCAATGCCAAGGAAATTTATATGCATTTCATGTGAGGATCATTAGCTGTAGCTGATGTAAATAGGAGGCCAACAAAAATCAACAACGACAACAGAAAAAAAAACAACAGGAGCCTCAAAGAGATGGAGTGATCCTTCTGTCTTCAACGTGTATTTTACTTCTTGCACCCGAAGAAGTTTTCTGTTCAACTTTTGTACATCTCTTTCTCCCGCCAGTTGTGAAACTCATTTATGCCCTGAAACGATATGTGCTCCTTTAAGCTCAAGCTTCATGTTCCTCTTTAACAGTACTTCAAGGGTAAAAAGAGTATGATTAGAAAAGCTTTTTATGTCCTGGCAAGCATGGTACCAGAAACAAGTTCTGCCTGCTGAGATTCTCTTCCTTCTGTATTTCTGCCTAGTTTACCCTCTGTTACTTTCGGTACTACAGTTTTCATTTTAGTTTCAGTTAACTTCAGGAACCCTGTGGCTACCGCATATTTAGCAGCTCTTCCAGTTCAATATCATTCTTCTCATTAGTGCTCCAAGCTTACTCTCATGATACCCAGATTACATCCAGGAAAACATAGTGTCACACTGTCAGCACAATCTGTAACATTCTTCATGTTTTGTGTGCCAAATCTCTCGTTAGTGCTGGCATTACATTTTTAATATCTTTGTCTGGCAAAACAAGACCTGGCACCAATTCAATATCGGGATTCACTGGCTTTGAATTTCAGGTACAGCCTTTATCCTACCTTCCAGAATAATGTCTCTGTGTCCTATGATGAACTCATCACTTTGGAAATTCCTGCTGTGATAATAGAACAGTATTTCTTGCTCTTTCAAACAGCTCAACATCGATAATCTACTAGATTTTTCTCAGTCTTTTTGAGGATAAAACAGCTAAAGACAAGATACAATGGTAGTTCTTAATCCACAGGGAATTTAATGAAAGGAAGAAAGAAGGTGTTAAGTTTTTATTTCTAACTGTTCTGACTGACTAATTTTTCTGTGACAAAAAAAATAAGAGTAGTTTCCGTATTCTTAGGTGAAAGAAATACTTAGGCTAGTGGAGGAACAATGACATTTAAATTCAAGTACTGCCATATACCTTATGTCTTTCAACCAAGACTTATTTTCTAAATCAATCATTTCAATAACCAGGCCAGAAGAACCATTAATTACTCAATTTACCTCAACATTTATTAATAAAATGGATGTTTTGACCAAAGTTGTTATGGACAAAAGGGATAAGATCGTCAGAAAACAGTGTTTATGAATGTAAAAGAGAATGTGTTTCTATCTGCTGCATTTGACTCAGTCACCTGACTTCACTTACAAGAGAGTTATTTATGCCATTGTGAGATGCCACTGCAAGAACAAATACGTTTTTATTGATCTTTTTATGTTTAGTCAAATGTGTAAAAGAATAATAATCAGTAGAATCAGTAGGCAAAAAGGCTTGTGACTTGTTGAAGTCTGAAAAGGAACCCACAGCATGACTAACATTGTCTCATGAGAAAAAATTTCACAGGTCTTTCAATGAATAATATTCTGACTTGCCGTCTTCTAGAAGGGAGAAGAATAATTAAAGGTGCTGAAGGCAGGAAAATTTTGGATCAGATTTTAGATATCGATTACATGAAATGAAGGCCAGAAATTGTGTTTTCTGTGAGTCTGGCAACTCTCAGTTCAGGTCATTGCATCTGGCAGAGCTGTGCCTCAGCAAGAGACCTTGGATGCTTGAAATCATCTAAACACTTTTAAGAGTAGACTTAAAAGGTATTGTTTTCCTCATACTGAAACATTTTCCGTTGTTTTCTTGAGAAATGCTATGTGCTTTTGACCACAAGTTAGATTTACATTTCTTGACTTTGGAGAACTTTGCAAAATCGACACATTTTACTGTAGGTTTTCTGTGTTTGTTCCGTTGGGTTTTTTATAATAGCTGCAAATGCAGCATAAATGATTGTCTTACCCATATCATCAATTGTGAAGTCTTATGATCCATGGAATTATCTTGTACCACCAACTTCAGCATGATCAGGACTATTTCTAGCATTCCACACCTGAGCAGCCTTCAACGTGATGCACCAGCTAAAATTATAACTTGGAAAATTACAATGCAAGGAACTTTCATTCTTACTCCCAAATATGTAGTCCTTCAATATTCTTTCTCCAGCTCCCTCTCATAGACATATGGAATGGTACATTCCACAATGTGAATGCGTCCTTTTTATTGTGTAAAAAGTTAAATTTTCATCCGACCAATTCACATTTTTAAAAGCTCTTTAAGATGTTTTATAGTCATTTTTTCCGGTAAAAGATGTAGTTAGCACAAAATTTTTAATGTGCTGAAGAATAGAGATCTTACCATCTGCGTTTTAGATTGCACTTGTGTATGACTTTGTCATTCATTAACATCCTTTAGGGATAATCCTTTTATTAAAGTCAAAAGTGAGATATGATATCAAAGATTACACTAAACAAATTCTGTTAACGTTTTTCTGCTGTAACTTACCACAGCCATATAATTTATGGGCCGTTTTGATAATAGTGTCCAACAGTAGAACAATCTGCTTCATAATGTGATAAACTGCTTTTTTATTATCTCTTCTTTCTGAAGTACACTAATTCCAGGAAAACTTATAGCATTACAAATCTTGTCTTTCCTCCATTAATAAATTATGTTAGTTACCTCAAGTGCATGCTATAAAAGGCCTGTTATGCCATGGCACTGTACCCAAAATTCTTGACTGTACTTTAGCAAATCAAAACTAATCTTCATCAGGAACATAAAGTTTAAATTATACTTTGTACTTGCCCAGTAAACATTCATCAGTAGTAGCAGATTTTTTGATCTGAGAACATTTGAAAGAAAGAAAAGATACGGTGCACTGATCAAAACTACAAAAATAGCAAGTCTTCATACCTTACACAGATACACATTCAGAAAATAGTTCTTAGATGATGTCGGTGGAAAGGTAGAGGCTTGTGTTAGCAGGTTTCTTTCACTGTATATTTCGTATCTAAAGCTCTGTCATAGATTTTGGCATGTCATGATACAGATGTGGGACTACCGAAATTGCGTACACGCATGCACTCCCTCAAAGCCGCTGGTTGTGCGTCGGTTATATTGTTTGACTCATTTATTACTTAATAAGGTCTATTCTGCTGTTAACATGCACGGAAGGGAAATATATAGACTTGCATAGTGACTGAAATTAGCAATACAGTCTTAGTATTTTCTTTTAACGTGTTCCTTCCTCATAGTGTGTTAGTGGGTTTCCTAGCTCACTTGTTGAGTAAAGATCTTTAAAACTATATGTTGTCAGTGACAAAGTAGCTAGACTGAATTTGAACAGGCCAAACTATGATTTGCTTCCCAGCCACTGCTGTAAAGAAGATGGGAATGATTCAGACCCTCATTTTGAGAGGCGGAGAGCATGTCCATGCCTCCCAACGCCCTTCTGGGCCCCTTCTCCCCCCTCAGCGGTCTGTTCACGGTGCCAGAGTCTGGAGATAGGATCTGTAATGGACTCTGCTTCAAGCTCTATATGCTTGCAATTTATGTGGACAGCAAGTTATACAAACTGGGAGTTTATTTAATTTTTCAGAATATGTTGTTAATATGACCAAAAATAATGAGAAATTGAAAGGATTTTATAGACAGATTCTGGTGTTTTCTCAGAAAATACAACTGAACATGAAATATGGGAATTATAAACTTGTTTAAATTATGTAAAGGAGGTGTGTGACGAAGTAAAGACTCCAAGGCTGTCCCTGTGCCAGAGGCACAAAGGCTCACTTCTTAATAAACATGTTTCAGAAGTAGCTCAAATGCTTCAGTGTCCCCTGGTGAAATTCATAGGATAGCTTCTGTGCATTTTTGTGGAGATTGTCAAATAGAATAATTTACTTCTGGAAAAATACTGGGCTTAGAAATACCAGAATATATACATTTAGGAAAATTATTAGCAACCAAAAAAAAAAAAAGGTTAGAGCTGATTCTTTTATTATTTTTTTACTTAAAATTTTCTAAACTTGTACTACCTCTTCTTGTATCACCCGGCACTCACCAGTTGCTGAATTTTAGTTTGTCTTACTTTTAATTTTAAAATATCTCAGTCATTTGTTGTACTGCTGTGTCTTTGACATTAATGTAAAATACCTTACATCAATGTTAAAAACCAGCATGCTGTTGTGGTTTAACCTCAGCCAGCAACTAAGCCCCACTCAGCTGCTCACTCACTCTCCCCTGGTGGGATGGGGGAGAGAATCAGAAGGGTGAAAGTGAAAAAACTCGTAGATTGAGAAAAAAACAGTTTAATAGGTAAAGCAAAAGCTTCACAGACAAAGCAAAGCAAAACAAGAAATTCTTTCCCTGCTTCCCATCAGCAGACAGGTGTTCAGCCACCTCCAGGAAAGCAGGTCTCCATCATGCCTAATGATGACTTGGGAAGAAAAAAATGCCGTGAGCCCGAACATCACCCTCTTTCTTCTTCTTCCCCCAGCTTTATATGCCGAGCGTAACATTATAGAGCATGGAATATCGCTTTGGTCAGTTGGGGTCCAGCTGCATCTCCTCCCAACTTCTTGTGCAGCCCCAGCCTACTCGCTGGTGGGGTGGGGTGAGAAGCAGAAAAGACCTTGGCTCTGTGTAAGTTCTGCTCAGCAATAACTAAAACATCCCTGTGTTAGCAACGCTGTTTCCAGCACAAATCCAAAACAGGCTCCATACTAGCTACTGTGAAGAAAATTAACTCTGTCCCAGCCAAAACCAGCACACTTAAATTTAGATGTTGGTGACATGAAACAGATGTGTTTCAGAAAATCAGCTTATGTGGTTCATATAACTTATTTGTTATTAATTGGAATTTGGTTTTTAAGTATTTAATTAAGTCTGCTTTGTGATATACACTGATATTTTTAGAAAGTGAGAGTGATTATTGCTTGGACTACAGAAAGAATCAAGTGTGAAGAGAGGAACTGAGGGTAATGGAACATTTTTGGCACATTGTGATCAGTGGCTGGATGCACAAGAGTCTCAATGA